CCAAAAAAGAGATAGACGAACGGATGGACAGATAGACAAACAAAAGAGTGAGAGAGAGAATGGATATCTCAATCCTTCTATTTACGTTCTTCGATATCTTTCTTCCTTCATTTCTCTTCCTCTTCGCCTTCCTCCTCATCCTTATCTCTTCCTCTTCTTCCTCTTCCTCCTCTTCCTCCTCCTCCTTCCTCCTCCCCCTCCCCCTCCCCCTCCCCCCTTCTCCGAGCCCTTCTTCGTTACCTTAGATGACGTCATCAAGTCCTCGGACCCCCCCCTTCCTAGTGTATACGTCAGCTGATTGGCCTTATTATCTCTTACTCCTTGCTTCTCCCCCGTTCCTTGATTATTCTCTTTCGTCTTTCTTTTCTTGGTCTTTGTTCTTCGCCGTTTTACTGTTTTCCGCTTTCGTTCAGTTGTTTATTGATCTTTTTTATTTTCTCTCGCTCTCATTTTCTTCTGAACTTTTTCCATTTTTTCTCTCTCTCTCTTTCCCTTTCCTTCTCCTCCCCTCTTCCCGTTCTCCCCTTTTTATTTTCCTCCCCTCTTCCTCTCTCCCTCTCCTCCCCTCCTCCCTCCTGTCCTCTTCCCTTTTATCTCCCACCCCTTTTTCTCTTTCCCTCTCTCCTCCCCCCCCCTCCTTTCCTCTTCTCCCCTCTCCTCCCCCCTCCTTTCCTCTTCTCCCCTCTTCTCCCCTCTCCTTTCCTCTTCTCCCCTCTCCTCCCCCCTCCCTTCCTCTTCTCCCCTCTCCTCCCCCCTCCTTTCCTCTTCTCCCCTCTCATCCCCCCTTCTTTCCTCCCCTCACCTTTCCTCCCCTCCTCCCCTTTTATCACTTCCCATCCCTCTTCCTTTTTCTCGGCGTTTTGTCCCCTCATTTTCCCTATTACTGCATCTTTTTCATCTCCCCTCATCCCTGCCTCTGTATTGGATTCTGTGATAGCTCTTTCGAGGACCTCTTCTCTCCCATCGACGTCTCTTCCTCTTCCCATTCGTTTCTTTATCCCTTCTCCTCCGACCTCCACTTTTCATCTCCCTCCCTTACTCCTTCCTTCTGTCCTCCTTACTCCCTCCTTTATTTTTTTTTTCTTCTTTCTCTATCTCATCTCCTTCCTTCTGTCCTCCTTACTCCCTCCTTTGTTTTTTTTTTTTCTTCTTTCTCTATCTCATCTCCTTCCTTATGTCCTCCTTACTCCCTCCTTTGTTTTGTTTTTTTCTTCTTCCTCTATCTCCTCTTCCTTCCACTTCCATCACCGCCTTTCATCCCCTCTTGTTCCTTCTTTTCCTCCTCCTCCTCCTTTCACCTCCTTTCTCCTCCTTTTTGTCTCCTTCCCCCATCCTCCTCCTCTTCCTCTCTCCCTTCCCCCATCCTCCTCCTCCCTCCCTCCTTCCCTCTTTCTCCCTCCTTCCCTCTTCCTCCCTTCTTCCCTCTTCCTCCCCCCCTCTCCTCTTCCCCCCCCACCTCCCTCCTCTCTCTTCCTATACCGCCTTTCATTCCCTCCCCCTATACCCTCTTCCCTTTTTTTTGTGATTATATTGATTTGTCTTTGTTCTTTTTTTCTATGTGCCTCTTCTGCTGTTTTAAATCCCTCTCGTTGCCATGTAGAGATTTGTACCTCTTCCCTCCCCCCCCCTCCTTCCCATTCCGATAGACCCCCCCTCTCTTTTATTCTCTCTCTTCCTCCTCATTTTTCCTCTCCTCTTCTCCTTCTCTTCCTCCTTTCTTCTCTTTCTTCTCTTCCTTTCTTCTTTTCTTCGCTTCTCTTCTCTTTTCCCTTCTCCTTTCTTCTCCTCCTCCTCCTCTCCTCTCTTCTCCTCCCTTTCCTCCCTCCCCTCCTCTCCCTTATGTCTCTCATACATTATTGGCCTTCCCTTCCACACCGACTCTTGTCTTTTACTTATTCTCACTAAGACTGGCTCTCTCTCTCTCTTCTCTTCTCTTCTCTTTCTCATTCTCCCTCTTCCTCTCCTTCCTCTTCTTCTCCCTCTTCCTCTTCCCCAACCCCCCGCCTCTTTTCCTTCTTCCTCTTCCCCCACCTCTTTTCCCTCTCCTTCTCCCTCTCCTCCCTCTTCCTCTTTTCCCTCTCCTTCTCCCTCTCCTCCCTCTTCCTCTTTTCCCTCTCCTTCTCCCTCTCCCCCCTCTCCCCCCTCTTTTCCCTCTCCTCCCTCTCCCTCTTTTCCCTCTCCTTCTCCCTCTCCCCCCTCTTTTCCCTCTCCTCCCTCTCCCTCTCCCCCCTTTCCTCCCTCTTCCTCTTCTCCCTCTCCTTCTCCCTCTCCCCCCTCTCCTCCCTCTCCCTCCTTCCTCTGGTACTTCCATCTTGAATTTCAAACGATGTGTGAAATGCTCTTGTTTATTATGGTTTACAGTGGACTTGTTTTCTCTCTCTCTTCTTTTGTTTATCCACTTTTTCTTGCCCTGTTTTTTTCTTGTGTCTCGTCTGTCTGTCGGTCGGTCTGTCTGTCTTGCCTACGTGTATTTGGCTTTGATGGAAAAAGAAATTCGAATTAATTATTTTTTTTATTTTTTATTTATTTATTTATTTTTTTTTTATCCGTATTTTCCTTTCCCCATAATTTTCAATAACGAGATTTCCCATTTTCTTCAACATGGCGAAAACATCAACCCTCCCCCCGCCCCCCTTTTTTTTATTTTCCATGATCTTGCAATTTACCGATAACTTATATAGGCCTATATATTCCTTGAAAATAACTAGCCCTTGGTTCGTCGGTGAAATGTTTAAGGGCGATATGGTAACCAAATGGAGAGAATGGGGGGGGGGGTGCGAGAGAGAGAGAGTGAGTGAGGGGAGGGGGGGAGAGAGAGAGAGAGAGTGAGGGGAGGGGGGAGAGAGAGAGAGAGAGTGAGGGGGCGGGAGAGAGAGAGAGAGAGAGAGAGAGAGAGAGAGAGTGAGGGGGGGGGGGCGAGAGAGAGAGAGAGAGAGAGAGTGAGGGGGGGGGGTGGCGAGAGAGAGAGTGGTTGGGGGGGGTGAGAGAGAGAGTGGTTGGGGGGGGGGGGTGAGAGAGAGAGAGTGGTTGGGGGGGGGGGGTGAGAGAGAGAGAGTGGTTGGGGGGGGTGAGAGAGAGAGAGTGGTTGGGGGGGGTGAGAGAGAGAGAGTGGTTGGGGGGGGTGAGAGAGAGAGAGTGGTTGGGGGGGGGGGTGAGAGAGAGTGGTTGGGGGGAGGTGAGAGAGAGAGAGTGGTTGGGGGGGGGTGAGAGAGAGAGAGTGGTTGGGGGGGGGGTGAGAGAGAGAGAGTGGTTGGGGGGGGTGAGAGAGAGAGAGTGGTTGGGGGGGTGAGAGAGAGAGAGTGGTTGGGGGGGGGTGAGAGAGAGAGTGGTTGGGGGGGGTGAGAGAGTGAGTGAGTTGGGGGGGTGAGAGAGAGAGTGGTTGGGAGGGGGCGAGAGAGAGAGTGAGGGGGGGGGGGGCGAGAGAGAGAGAGAGAAAGGGGGGGGGGGGGGGTGAGAGAGAGAGAGAGGTGGGAGAGAAAATAAAAGATGAAGGGGGGAGGGGTTATACATATAAGTCTGTTTGCATGTGTGTGTGCTTGTAAATTCTTTCGTGGTCGGTATACATTTTTCAGGTTATTACGTACTGAATAAAGCATTATTTGCCTATGTGTTGCCTCGAATACTAATCCACTATGGCAGGTTTATGTTATTGATGTTTCTCTCCTCTCTCCCATTCCCCCTCTCTATCTGTTTTTAATCTCAGTCTCTCCTCTTACTTTCCTCTCTCTTTCCTCTCTATTTCTCTTTCTCTCTCTTCTCTCTCCTCTCTTCTCTCTTCTCTCTCTTTCTGTCTCTTCTCTCTCCTCTCTATCTCTGTCTCGTCTCTCTTTCTCTCCTTCTCTCCTTCTCCCCTTCTCCCCTTCTCTTCTCGTTGTCTATCTCCCTCTTTCTTTTCTCGCATCCACCCCATCTTTCTCTACCCTTTCCCTCCCCACCCCCTCCTTCCCCTCCTTTTCCCTCCGTTAATCCGAGGGGAAAACGAAAGTGAAGACATGGAGAGAGAGAGAAGAGGGGAGAGCGCAGCCCCCCGAGAGCGTCGAGAGAGGGGAGAGGAGCGAGCGAGGGGAGCGGACCGAGGGGCGCCGCGCTTGCAAATATTTCGTCGAGAGCGCTGGGACGATTAAACGCCTCGGAGTCTCCTCCCCTTTTTGCGTGCGTGCGTGTGTGTGTGTGTGTGGGCAGGGGGGGGGGTCGTTTTATTATTGTATGGTTTCGTTTTTTTTTTTTTTGTGGGTTATTGTGAGTTTGGTTTTTGTGCTCTATGAGTTGGAAGTATCTTTTGTGCTCAATGGGTTGAGAGTATATGCAACATGTTGCATGAGTAGCACTCCGCGGATGCAAGCAAGAGAAAGGGAGAAAAGGGAAAGAGAGAGATTGAGATAGAGGAAAGAGAAAGAAAGAAGAAGAGAGGAGAGAAAAAAATGTTTATATATAGAGGGAAGGAACGACCCTTAGTTCCTTCCAGCTTTTCGCGGGAATATAACTTAAAAATCTCCTGACTATTTACTCACGCAGGCGGCCGTAAATAACCTGCATTGACTTCGTCCCTCAAATTTGTAACATAAATTTCACAAGTTGTCGAATAACTCCACTCCATGCTGCTACTTCTCATTCTTAAGCTATTTTAGGCTCTCGTCGACATGCCTGTAATCGACTGTGTACGTTATTATGTGCGCACATGCATTTCCGCACACGAACTCATACTGAAAGAATTGCATTAAGGTCGTTGTGTCCTTGTCTACAATGTCAGTGTAAGAGGATGTTGGAGTCGGTTTTTTGTGTATTTCCTAGAGTTAGGATACAAATTGTATGCGTCTTGCTCCGCTGCTTGGAGTAAGATGATGCACCAAGGGGGGAGGGGGAAGAGGAGGAAGTAGGAGGGAGGAGAGAGGGGGAGAGATGTAAGTAGGAGGGAGGAGGGTGGGGGAGAGATGTAAAAAAAAAACGCGCTGTACTGTTCTCCATTGTGTGCTGACGGCAACTCTTTTCTTCTCCCTCAGCACCCCGAGTACTCCGAGGAGGAGCTCAACAAGCTGTACAGCCTGTTCTGCAGGTACGCCTCGCCCAACACCAAGAAGGGCCACATCTCGCTGGACAGCTTCAAGAAGCTCCTTGAGGCCCTGCAGCTGACCCAGACGCATCTGGAGGCCAAGGAGACGTACGACAAGGCAGCCAAGGACGGCAAGCTCTCCCTCGACGAGTTCATGAAGCTTGTGAAGGACCTCGAGTCGAAGACCGGGAAGATCAACCTCGACGTAAGTTTTAAAGGCGACTTCGTGGAGGGCGGGCTTTAAACGCGGCCTGGGCTTGGGTCGAGACTAAAGAGCTGGGTTCGAACCGATAATTTTTTTTTTTTTTTCGCAGCATATTAGGTGATCGTTGACAAGATATGTTTGGTGTGGATAGACATGAATATGCAATGTAGATTATTATACGATAGGATAATGGCTTCCTAATTTCTGGTTCGATGACACTAATGGATGTGCTTCCCCCGCCCCCTCTGCAGCTGGTGATCAAGCTGGCGGCGCAGGAGGAGGTTGATGTGGACAACGTGGGCGTGGGTGGCGCCAAGAGGTTCTTCGAGGCCAAGGCGCGCATCCTCGAAGTAGGAGACGCTGCCTACCGGGCCTTCGAGGACAAGAAGAGAGAGGAGGAGGAGAGGAAGAGGAGACAGGAGGAGTTCAAGAAGAAGAGGGAGCAGTTCCAGCAGGCGGCGTAAGGTTCAAGGGAAACGCGCCGAGATCATGAGTGAAGCCGCGTGCATGGCGCTCAGATTCACAGGCTAAAAGACACACGTAAACCCGTATTGTGTAAAATACCACCTTCGTTGAGAAAGCAAAAAAAAGGGAGACATATGGTAAGGATTCAAACCCAGTTTAGAAGAGTCAATTAAAGGATCTAAGTCAGTCATGTATTCAGTAGCGTTAGGAGCATCTGGAAGGAGATTCACACGGAAACTTACCTCAGCTGAATGGTCCGATGTAACTTAGTAATGGCAGTAAATATACAGCTTTGGCATATCCACTCCTAGGGTTTAGAGTACTTGTACATATCCTTTAAGGGCGATATGTAACGAAAAAAGATGGTTAATTTCTGTAGGCCAATGGAATGCGTGCTGTAGTTGAATGAGCTGAGAGCAGTAGGCTACATCCTATAGTACAATCTGCTCTAGCACGAGAGACAGAGAGGAACCAAAAATCAAAATCAGTTCTCACTTAAACGGAATAGGTCCAGGGTCGATCAGCATCGGATTTTTACCTTGCTTTTATTTGCCCTTCATAACATAACAATAAGGGCGAATTCGCTGTCATTTCATTGTAACTAACTCATCTTAGTTGTAGGTCTCACCAGCACGACTGTTCCGCTGACACTAAATGAATACACTAGGCTAGTTAAACTACATGATGTTAGGTTTAGGAATTTCGTTATTTTGATATAGTCCCTCTCTTTTATTATCTCTTCGTTTCTCTCTCCCTCCCCCAATCTTAACTAGTCTGCTCCTTTTCTTTTTCTTCTCTCTCTCTTTTTTTTTAAACATCTGCGCGTCATTATTCAGCCAATTCATCTTCCATTGTGTTTTACGAGATAAGCGAGTCGGCAGACAAGCTACGATACCACATGTTGTAAATACAAGCTCGAGCCATGTGTTTGGGGGATGCACGTCTCTGTTAGCGCTTCTCGTGGGATTATTTTACTTAAACAAAAATTTTCTGGGGTTTCATGTTATAATTTAGGAAATGGAATGTTTTTTTTTTTTTTTTTTTTAATATGAAGGAGTGATCCATTTCGGGAGGAAAAAAATATCAAGAGACTTGCATTTCTGGTGGTTCGTGTTTTTTTTTCTTTATCAATAATCAATATTAATCTTGATATAAAGTCAGTATTCAATAGATGTGAGTGCAGTATTACTGTCTAATAAATTCTGTATTTAAAGTTAGTTTATGTCTGGATATCCATAGAGATACTTTGGAAAAAGGAGAATATTTTGTCGTTTACTGAACACAGAAAAAAATATTTTATAGCTTTCCCTCAAAGAAGAGAGAAAAGCAAAGCATATAAATTATTTATATCTTCATGAAGAAAGTGAAAGTTACTATTATTTAATTATCATTATGATTGTGATTACATGATACTTGGAAGGACCACAATTTAGCCTTTATTAAGATTGTAAGAGGAGTATTTGATCTAGATTTTTAATAAAATCAACCTTTTTTCGGTGGAGTCTTATTAGTTGGATACATGTCAGCACTTGATTGTATTTGCGTGATTTGTGATAAAATGATTCCACGTAAAATGGTGTTTTGGTTTTATCCTTAGAAGGAGAGAAAACTGATTTAAAAAAAAATTGGTTTCTTCTCATAAAGAGAGATGGAAGATTCGAAAAAGTACCATTCTGATTTTTTATTTGGTAAAGAGTGAAATAAATGAAAAACGAAGAGCGGAAAAAAGTAAGTAAAAAATAAAAGATGGTACAGAAAAGTATTAAAGCTGGATAATGAGTGAGTGAACGAGGAGAGAAAAATGACAATGGATTCCTAAGAATTCAATATCAATTTGTTTTTGTATGAAAAAAAAAGAGGATGGAGACTTATGCAATATTAACCGTTCGTCTTGATTATGCACTCTCGCGTATTCAATTCTCAATAAAATGTCCCTATTCATTTCTTATTAAAATCAAATATCCCTCGCCTGGCCTCCTCCCTTCACCGACCTCCCAGCCTTAACAGAATCCCACATTTTATGCTTCGACAACCTGATCTCCTTCCTAAGACGTATGCCTATCCTTCGTCTAATTCTATCTTAACCCATTTACTCATTGCCTCCTATACTCGTATTTAACCTTTGCAATACTATTTTTGACCGCTGACGTGTAGCAACTCATCACTAACTCAGCCCCAGTCCTTACTCTTTCTGATACAGTGCCTGCTTATGGTGTTGCATGGTCTTGGATGTCTAGCATATTTATTTTGCTTTTAGACATTAAAGATTAAAGATAAGTGTTCAGCCTAGACAACTAATCACTAACTCAACCACCTTTCACTAACATTAACTATAGTGCTACATGACCTTAGATGTCTAGCACATTTATCTTGCTTTTAACCATTAACCATTAAAGATAAGTGTTAAGGTCTTGTTTTTAAAAGTTCGATGATCTTTTGTCGTCTGAATTGTGTTGGCAAGATACCTGTTATGGTCTTACTCCTACGCCACTCCCCCCCCCTCCTCCCTCCTCCAGTTTGCCCTCCTTCTCCCCTTTCTTTGACTGCTTCTCTCCTCTCTTGCATTCCTCTTTTCACTCCTTTATTCATTACTTCTCCCCTTTATCTCACTGTCCCTGTCACTCCTACCTCCCACTCCCAACTCTCCCCTCCCTCTCCACTACTTCTCTCCTTTCTCTCACTCCACCTTTCACACTCACCTCTCTCACCCCCCCCCCCCCCCCCCCGCCCCATCAGCAAGCTCTTAACTCCATAAGCCTTTAAAAAAAAGGTCATTGAGGGCAGCCGACTTGACCTTTGTGTCGATCGCCTGACATTTCGGGCAGTAAAAATGTGACTTTTTTTCTCTCCACTTGGTCGCTGCCGTTTCTATAAATGGCTGCAGTGTAATCGTGCATGCAGTCTTTAGCTCTGAATTCCTGAGTGGGATTTCGATCCTGTATTCAGGTAGATGTTTTTTTTTTTATTGTTTTATTTTAGTCTATGCCTCCTATCCCTTTTTGTCCCTCTTTTCTTTCTCTCTTTTCTTCGTCGCTCATTTTCCCTCTCCTTATTTTCTTTTTCTCTTGCCTTCTCTCACCTTATTCCCTCTCATCCCTTTTCCCTCGCTGTCCTCTCTTTTCCCCATCCTCTTCCTCTCTTATCCCCTCTCTCTCTTCACTTTTCCTTTCCTCTTCCTTTCTCTTTCCCTTTCTCTTCCACTCTCTCCCTTCTTCTCTCATTATATCCACACGAGCGATCTGGAAATGTCAATTGATAAGCCAGTCTTCCGCAACATTAAAAACGTATATGGGGGTAAAAGCAAAATGATAATCCAATTATAAGAATATTTTGAAAGACGCTCACGAGGGAGGGGGGGGGGGATCTTAAGTACATGATAATGTCACCTTTACGTGTCATGGAGAAATCTACACTGGAATGACTTGACTTTTGAACATTTTTTTTTTTATGTTGTCATTGGTATATGAATATCACCGTTACTTGAGCGAGAGAGTGAGGGACGACAAACCGACTGCAAACACAAACACTCATAAAATACAGGCAAACAAACCGGAGGAACTAGACAAGACAAGAAAAAAAGCAGAAAACAAAAAACAGTACATGAGACTTGAACAAGCGCCTCCTCAGCCATATCCACCCACAATGCAGAGGAGACAAGCGGAGGTCAAGGCCACATTACCGAGCAATGGCCTTAAGCAGCGAACACCCACTCGGTCCCGCACTGCAGTCTAAGTCTTTTTTTTTTTTGCAGTCACTAACCCAGCCTCACCTTCCCCATGGACAATCTTGCGGAATGCCACACTCTTTTTCCTCAGACAGCTTGTGTCCCTTCCTACATATTCATACATATCCTTCGTCTGATCTATTTGCTTTTAACCCATCACCCCCCCCCTCCCCATCACCCCCACACCCTCCCACCATTTTCTCCTTAATCCCATTTATTCACCTTCTTTAAACCCGTTTTTAATACCATATTAACCTTAAATGCCGTACGGTTTTTGACATGTAGCATATCTAATGATTAACTCACTCTCACTTTTATATCCATTTTTTTTCGCCACTACACCTTCCTAT